GATATTCTTTATATCGCAATCAAAGTTTTTACGATCATTGGACGTGAACTTTGCAATCATCTCGCGTACTCGATCATTAGTAATATCCATTCTTTTGTGGAGAATATTTCAACACATCTATGGATGTGTGTATCCTTTTGTAAAGCTTAAGCAGTCTTTAATAAACAATCCATGATAAAGAAATGTTAAATAAACAATTATTAATACATAAGCTAAAAATAATTTACTTTTCCATGTAATTATTCTAAATTGCTCAAAATTATTCTAAATGATTCAATATTGTTGATTGATTTTAAAAATTTAAACAAATTCTAATGTATAAAAAACACTCATTTTATTTCACTTGCTATAAATATTAGCATTAATGGAATTTATGTTCTCTTATAGTGTAAAACATATATGCAACTGTTGTTAATAAAAAATTGCTTAGAGGAAATATTGCATAAGCAAAAATCCTATAGATTTTTTTATGTTAAGTCTTTGATTTGATTATTACCTCAGTTCCTTTCTCCGACAAAAATTCACGATGTCGACCAGCATAGCTGGGAATAAGTGGCCGAAATATATGAAAAAAAGATAAATAAGTCTGTACTTCGTGTATCTGAAGCTGCAATACCACATTGCTTTGTCAGAAATTCGTTAATCCCCTCTTCCAAGAATTTTTTCATATCATTATAGATTATTGGGTTGTCCTTAGCCACGTAATTATAAATCGGAATGTCACTAAGTAAATTGTTCTTTAATCTGAAACAATGACGTAACGAGATGATATCACCATGTTTACAACTGTCGTAACATTTTTAAACTGAATTAATTGTCGTTAGTTATACATTAGAATAGATAAATACAAATAGAAACGCAAAAATATATCATACAAATATAATCTCTCAAAAAAACCGTTTTTCAACACTCTCAAAATTAATTTGTATACGAAGATACGCTATTTTTATCATATAATAATAATTTTACCATATAATAATCAATATTTTTTAAACTGTGTATCGTATTTACTGACACTTTTTTAAAAAATTTTTATTAATTTTAGCTTATGTTATAATAAAATGATGAATTTTTGCTAATTAATGGTAAGACGAAAAATACGATTGGCAAATTACCAGCCTGCTTTCTAATCATGTATATGAAGACTTGAATATTAAAATCATATGTCTAATGATACTTCTGTCGGAATGTCAAATGTCGAATGCTGAGTTGCATTTTCAAGCATTAAGATTAATTTATATTTGATAATATTCAATTACATCGATCGAAAAAGACAATGATGATGATAAATGTACCTTATATTAGCTGTATCCCATGCGCTCGCGATAAGAGCATTGATTACTAAATCAGCAGGTACCACATTTGTGGCTAATAAACCATCGCAATAAATCGATCGCAGCAATCCAATACTAACACCAACAGTAATTCCTGTTGGACCGTATAAATTGTTGATCCAACCTCGTATAGGTTCTCGATACGTTGAAATTACTAAAAGTAACAAGATAATAATCCATAATTTTCAACTTGAGATTTATCAAATCTCTATACGTATTATTATTATAATTAATTACTATTTCGTGATGATAATTACTATATTTACAATCATTTATTATTAATAACGTAATTAATTATTTTTATTCAAATAATAATTCAATATTTTTAAAACTGTGTATCCTATTTGCTGACACTTTAAAAAAAAATTATTATTAACTTTAACTTATGTTATAATAAAAATGTTAAACTTATGCTAACTAATGGAAGGACGAAAAATGCCGATTGGCAAATCACCAGCCTGCTTCCTAATTACATCCTCCGCCATCGCTTTTGTAAAAGTATAGGTATTTGGCCATTTTCCTAATAATCTATAAAAGATAAAAAATAAGTTTTTCTTTTCGCTTTTTTTTTCGACAATTTAAACAAAGAAAAATTCACGTACTGCGGTGTTATATCGGCCAATTTATCATCCGTGCATTCCATCAAAGCGAGTAGTTTGTCGTAATCCATTGGTGCGTCGTAAAATTTTTCTTCTATCACGTTTTGTGGACAGTTTGCAAACGCGGTTGATACATACACAAATGACTGAAGAAATTAAACAAGTAAAATATCAGTTGCGTTGTTTTACTATAAAATTTTAACTTTTAAATTTCCGAGAAAAGTCATTCGATTGAATAAATAATAAATAAATAGTAAATCGTAAATAATAAATAATATAATAATAAATAAATAAATAAATAACAAATCATGAAATAATTGTAAGATGCTTCTTAGGTAATTCTTATCGTTTTTTGTTTCTTAAATATATTTAAATACCTTTAAATTTGGGATTTCCTTGCAAAGATTTAGAACGTCTTTCGTACCACCGACATTAATTGTTACGGCTAATTTCAATTTCTCATTAAATTTTACTGTTGCCGCGATATGAAAGACAATCGAAACTTCTCGAATGAGAGTAGCCCGATCTTCCAAAGATATTCCGAGATTTGGGTGGTTACAATCGCCCGTTATAGAAATTATTTGATCCCGAAAGTTCGGTTGCTTGTCTTTAAGTCTTTCAAATACCTGCATAAAGTGAATAATGGTAAATCCCATCACATTAACTGAATTAAAAGAAATTTATTATAAAAGATTAATAAAAGTCGATAACTTTTATCATTTATAATAAATCTTCGACTTTAATCTTTTTCTTTAACAAATGGTAGAAGTTTTGCTCTGCAGTTCCGGTCTGCCTCTTCAAAAACTGTAAGTGAGTGGTCCCTTTAAGTGATAAAACCATCAGACATGACATTTATATAAGTTCTTAAACAATTCCAAAAAATATATAAATATGAAACTATCGAAGGACGGTAAGAAATTTTTATGGTTATCTAACAGTTACTAGATTAGCTTTACATGTAGTTTTTTTAATTGTAATTTTTCTACGTTTGATTTAAAAGAAACCCCGAGCTCTTAGAATACAAATTAATGACGCAACAATAAAAAAATGAACTTGAAGACTAATTAGCAAGGTGTGGTCACTGAGTAGCAATTATTTACATTTTTTCTGTTTATCAATCGAGCGAGTCGCTCGCTAATGATAATGGCAGCATCTACAGAAATTAACTTAGATCATAAAATATTGAACAAAGTACAATTTGATTTACGTAATTTCTTTGCAAATTTTACAGCATATTAATTTAATTTTTTATTTAGTGACACAACACAATTTGATTGAACTTGAAATTGTAAAATAATTGAATTCCATAAATTTGTTATTAATCGCCAAATTTTTCTTGTATAGTTCTAGAGCGCTCTGCACTCAAAGGATTAAAGACTCACCACATTATCAAAAGTTTCTTCTATTCGTTGTTGTACATTTTTGTCCTTCTTTGGACGCACTAGTAAGTAAATAGTTCCCAATCCAAAACACAGTCTGAGAAGTTTCTCGATTAACAGCTTGCCTAGAAAACCGGTACTGCCGGTGATAAAGATGCTTTGGCCATGATAGAACTTCTGAATCAGCGATAGTTTTTCATTGACCGCCGACAAATCCTCTTTCGATGAGGATTCCATCAGCGAGAGTTCCATGCGTGATTTCGATTTGCATTCCGATTCAATAACAGCCATTTCGTGGTCGTCGATTCGATGTGCACTTTATATGAACACTTTTATTATCACTTCTCCTTCTATAAGCGGCTAACAAGCTTCCACCTTAACAAATGAGCTTCGTTATTCAATCGATTCGCTTTATATTCAATTTGCAATGTGTTACGCGACGGCCTCCATTATGTATCGTAATTTACGTATCCATATTTATCGACTTTTTTATAATACATCTTTGAATTATCATACATAATATATTCCAAATGTTATTTTTTTTAATAATACAAAAACTATAAAAATTATACATAAAGTATATAATACACAAAGTGATTCGAGCGTGACAGTATTGACTAAAAATAACGCATGCAACGCATAAACTAAACAATGACGAAAAGATGTCTTTTTTAAGTCATCTTTTTGGCAAGATTAAAAAATGTCTAAAGAATGTCTTTCTAATTACACAAAAAATCATAATTAATTTTAGTTGACGGAAAGACATTGCAGGCACATGTTCGTTTCATACATGTTTCCTAAACGTATATGAAACCACTAGATACGTTTAGGACACATATGTGAAACAAACATGTGCTATCTTATTGGTACCTTTTTGGTCATCTTTTTAATCATTTTTTCGGCAAGACAAAAAAATGCCTAAAAAACATGTCTCTCTGACTAAATAAAATGTCTCACTTTAGTTGTTTTTCTACCAAAGCAGAGATGTCTAAGGGCCACTATTTTTCCATTGTCGATTAACTTTAACCAATAGTTCCAATTTATCGACAAAATTACCAAGATGAATGGAGGTTACGCCCACACGTATTCCATAAATATTTCATTCGTGCAGTCGCATGTTGAACGCTGTTAACGAACTGCGAGAAATAAGTAGCGGACTGTTGACATAATATCTATGATCATGTAACTTTGTTTACATTTTTCAACAGATTAGTACGACATACACAATTTTCACTGTTCGTAATATCAGCTTATACCACCTAAAGTAGAGTATTAAATTTGTGAAACTTCAATTTGTTATATCTCCTAAACCAAAGCCGTTTCCCATTTATTTTTTGCAGGGAATTACCTACTCAGAATACCCCCTCTCCCTCGCTACAACATATCAAAAGGGCAACAAAATCGGTGAGGTGTAACCTAAAATGCATATTTACCCGAATTTTTACTATTGGCAAATTATAAAACATGTTAGGTAGTTAAGTGTCAGTTTCAAATTTTATTGT